TTTGTGCCAATTTATTTGTGGCTTTATTTAATTTCCATCAGTAGAATCTTTCACAAACTTCTTCGCTAATTACGTAACCCATGCTGCATTGCTCCAAGCTAAATTTTCACTAGATATAGTGTGCAGTTTCACGAAACGTTTGACAATCCTCATCGTATCAGCTGTAAAAAAGTGATTTTTTTTTGAAAAAAATACTTCAGGTTTTGTTTACAAGATCAGTTTTTTTTGCAGTAAATGAAAGTACCAATTCGCGGGTGGTACTTTGGGCGATCTTTGAAGCAGTGGTACTTGTGGCAATGAGTTTTGGTCAGATATATTACTTGCAACGATTTTTCGAAGTGCGACGGGTTGTATAAAAGTTTGGAAGTGCTTTACTCGTGCTGTATTGTATTTCCTTTCACTTCCTCAGAATGGCTTCGCGGTTATTTATTGTGTTTCTCGTGTACTGGCATAACTCTGCTTTGTTTTTCATTATTCAAAAATTTACCCTTACACAGACCAGTGACCATAGTGCCTTGATTTTCGACGAAAGTCCCATCTACCACACATTTCTGGCTCCGTTTTTTGGGGCCTCTTCCTGCGGCTGTGCCATCTTGGGTTCTTTCCATGCATTACTTTTTCCACATTTACTGCCTTTTTATGGCCAAAATCTCCACTCATAATGAACGGTTACAAGCTTTGGTTTTTCTTTTTTTTTCTGCGTAAGGTGTAACAAATAAGCCAGAAAAGCCGTTGCTTGCCTTGTGCAGCTATTTTGGCCAGTCTCCGTAATCTCCATTTTTACAGGTTTTGACTGCTAAGACCTCATTCTCTGCCCCATAGGTGACCCTGAAATTTTATTCGCAACCCGTAGTGTTAAGCGTTACCTTTAACTGTGCTATTGCTGCTGTTCAGTTATTTTCTTTAACTTATATATGTGGTATTTAGTCTAGCAGCCAAACAAATACTACTGGTCCAAAAGTCTTTTTTTTTCCTGTTATTGATTTTTATTATAGGTAAATTCCAGAATTTTCTTGGAATTGTTATTGGTATGGTTTGTTTTTCTGCCGATGGCAGCCCACTGTTAATACAGTGCAACAGATTTTAACAACTATTCTTACGTGAAAATCATTTTTTTGAAGGAAAAAAATACAAACAACTTCACATGATTTTAATACAAACCTTGGCACTGCCAAAAACAATGGAAACCCAAAATGTTTAGGAGGGTATCTGGATTTTAAAATTTCAAAATTTCTCATGCATGCTGAAATTACACGAAAAAGCGTATCCGTTTATTGACTTTAATATAATGCTTTTTTTCGTAATTTTTACTCCGTATCTGGTTGATTTTTTCGGTTTTTAGGACGAATTTAACTTAATTTATGGTTAAATCAGTGCTAGTTTTTTCTATTTGTTGTCTGTTTTACTTGGTTTTTTTAAATTAGTTAATGAAAGTTTTTTTTTACCAATTTTAGCGTGTGCACTAGAGGCGGAAGGCTGTGAATCTTTAAGATTGTCTGTCTTTGCAATATACTGATAGGGCTGTGGAGTGTGTTCGACAATATGGAAACAACGACTGGTCTGCTGTCTGTTAATCCTATGGGATTAATAGATCTCCCTCATGCACATCCCTCGGCCGATCTTCCAGTCTACTAGTTTCGGTGTTGCTTTAACCTCTCAAGAGAGTTCGACAAATCCAATCCGACTTATCCGCATGAATAGACATGCAAGCTCAGCATGCGTCCGTCGGTTGGGTATGACAGTCATGAGTAAAAACGCACTTCACCCTGGTACGTTTCTACTGCTGTTCGGTGCATCAAAATAACGTGCTGTGGAATGCATGCGGGGGGCCGCACGAGGGTTGTCTGATCAACAACAAACAGCTGTTGAGTGAAACCGTGTATACTGAAATTAGTGATAATGTAGCAGAGAGAGCTCTATGAAGAATTTATGTAATAATTCGAGCTTTCTTAATAATATTAGCATGTTGAAAAAAATAAAAGCCCTAAATAAAATCTGAACTTTTCCCTTCTCTCCTACTACCAGTTACCCATATTTGTCAATGATAGGTACAAACTTTTTTTTATTTTCATAACGCTTTTTCTATAAGTCAATAACGGTCCTAACGAACTTAATTGTTGGGTTGTTAGTGTGCCGACGATTCGATTTCAACTTTGATATATTATTTTAGTATAAAGTACGCCTACTTAGATGTATTTGAAATCTTTAACTCACATAAGAGCATGGGGCATCTCTATGAGGCTTCAGTTTCCTATGTTATCTGGTTCCCGAAATCGTTTTCCTGACAAAAAAAAATTTACATGTTTACTTTCCCGCATCCGTATATGAGGTCCAAGACGTACATAATGATTTTAAAATGGAGAAATCACAAATGATGTGAGATGTTCCAAAGTTTCAGTTTCCTTGCTTTTCTTGTTGCTCAATTGAAATTGGATGACGAAATGCGAATATACGGGCACACCCACGTACGTACAAACAACCTCTTGCAGGTATGTCTTTATGCGTTTTTGCATATATGCAAATACAAAACGCATATTGTGAATGATCCCGGTATGTGTGTGTGTGTGTGTGTGTGTGTGGGTGTGTGTGTGGGTGTGTGTGTGCGTGTGTGTGTGTGTGCGTGTGTGTGTGTGTGCGTGTGCGCGCGAGTATTTTAACTCTGCAACCGAATAATCTCCGGCGCCAGAATTTTGCCAGTGGGTTTCTCGGCCAAGTGCTATTCCACGGCCGTGGTACCAACCGTCTCGCAAGTTTGAGCCCCACGTTTGAGAGGGAGGAAGTTTTGGCGGGAAAATCACTAACTCGGGAGCGAGATAAACTAGAAAACTGAATTTTTGAGGTTATGTTCCCCGTCCATACAGAACTTAAAGATTTCAAATTCAGCCCCCAGGTATACGTGGTTCCCACGTACGGCCTCGTGTGGGTTCCTGGCGGGAAAATCGCTAACTTGGGAACCAGGGTAGCTAAAAGGCTGAGGTTTCAAGGGAATGTCCCCCGCCAGTGTGGGACTTAAAGTTATCAAATTCAACCCCCGGCATGCGCGCTTCTCATGTAGGTCCCGTGAAATTTCCTAGCGGGAAAATGGCTAACTCGGGAACCAGGAGAGCTGGGAGGCTGAAGTTTTAAAGAAATGTTCCCAGCCCACGTACAACTTAAAGATTTCAAACCCAGCCTCCAGGTCACACGCGGCCCGTGGAAGTTTTGGCGGAAAAATGACTCATTGAACAGCTGGATCATTTTCAAATAATTGGCCAGCGCACCGATTAGCGATGCGAAGACGCGTTTTCTGCATAGTTGCCTGCAGTTTTTGCCGCTACCAGCACCGATTTTCCCGGCAAATGCTTTTAGCTAAAAGAATTGGGACTGGCCGCCAGGACAGTCAGGAAGCACCTGTTTAAAATTTCGGCCTTCTAGCTATCCTAGTTTCCGATTAGTAATTTACCTGCAAAAAACTTTTACGGGCTTGTGCATAGGAACACGCGTACCCGGGGGCTAGGTTTGAACTTATTTGAACCTTATTTGAACCTATATAGACGCGGAACATCCGCTTAAAATTCCAGTCTTCTAGCTTCTCAGGTTCCCGAATTAGAAACTTACCCGAAAAAAAACTTTGGCGAGTTCTTACGTGAGAGCCACGCATACCCGAAGTCTGGGTTTGAACTCATTAATACCTACTTGGATAAGATACACCCCTTTAAAATTCTAATCTTCTAGCTTTTCAGGTTTTCGAGTTAAAAACTTACCTGAAAAAAATTTTGGCGGGCCCGTGCGTGAGTACAACGCATAACCGAGGGCTGGGCTTGAACTCATTGATATCTACTTGGAACCCTCTTAAAATTCCAGTCCTCTAGCTTTTCAGATTCTCGAGTTAGCAACTTGCCCGAAAAAAACTTTGGCGGACCCATACGTGAGTAGCACGCGGGTAAGCATTTTGGGGATGGGGCCCGTACGAGCATATAGATTAAGTTCTCAAAGTTTCAGCCCCGTAGCTTTCGTAAGTCTCGAGATGAAAAATCGGTAAAAAGGAACACATAGACACACACAGACAACCTCTCGTCAATATGCGTTTTCTGCATTGCATGGATGCAACAAAGGCTGAAACGCACCAGGCGAGCCGGTGCGATCATGCGTTTTTGCACCGGACTTGAATTACTCAGGTCATTATCTGCATGAATGGTTGTTG